CCCACAAGGGGCTCCCTGCTTGGCAGGGAGTCTGCTTCTCCTTCTCCCTCTACCTGCCACTCCCCCCGCTTGTGTTCTCTCTCTCTCTCTCTCTCTCTGTCAAATAAATAAATAAAATCTTTAAAAAAAAAATCTTTAAAAGAAAAATCCTTTACTCATTTTTAAATTGGGTTGTCTTTTTGTTAAGTCATAAGGATTCTTATATTCTGGATACAAGTCCTTTATCACTATGTGATTTGCAGATATTTTATTCCATTCCATTGGTTTTTTTTTTTCATTTTCTTGATGGTATTCTTTTTTTTTTTTTAAAGATTTTATTTATTTATTTGACAGAGAGAGATAGTGAGAGCAGGAACACAAGCAGGGGGAGTGGGAGAGGGAGAAGCAGGCTTCCTGCCAAGCAGGGAGCCCGATGCAGGGCTCGATCCCAGGACCCTGGGATCATGACCTGAGCTGAAGGCAGACGCCTAACAACTAAGCCACCCAGGCGCCCCTTGATAGTATTCTTTGAAACACAAACATTTTTAATTTTGATGTCCTGTTTAAGAAACTGCTTTTTGTGCTATTGATGTCCTGCTTAAGAAACTGTTGCCTAATACAAAGTCATAAGATTTACTACTTTGTGTTCTTACAAGAGTTTTATAGTTCTAGCTTTTACATTTAGGTCTTGATCCATTTTGAGTTAGTTTTTGTTTATGATGTGAGATAAGGGTCCGTATTCTCTTTGGCATGTGGATATCCAGTTGTCCTAGCATCGTTTCTTTCTTTTTTTTTTTTTAATTTTATTTATTTCAGACAGAGAATGAGAGATAGAAAGCACGAGAGGGAAGAGGGTCAGAGGGAGAAGCAGACTCCCCGCTGAGCAGGGAGCCCGATGCGGGACTCCAGGATCATGACCTGAGCGGAAGGCAGTTGCTTAACCGACTGAGCCACCCAGGCGCCCCCTAGCATCGTTTCTTGAAAAGACTGTTCTTTCCATTGAATGTATTAGCACCCTTGTTAAAAATCACTTGACCAGGGGCACCTGGGTGGCTCAGTCGGTCTGTTGATCCACTCTTGGTTTAGGCTCAGGTCATGATCTCCAGGTGATGTGATCCAGCCCCATGTCCAGCTCTGAGCTTGGTGGAGAGTCTGCTTGGGATTCTCTCTCCTTTTGCCCTTCCCCCTTCTTCCCCTGCTCTCTCTCTCTAAAATAAATAAATCGGTAAAAAAAATCACTTGACCATAAATGTAAAGGTTGATTTCTGGACTCTCCATTCTATTTCATTGGTCATCATTGATTTTTATTTTAATTGTTATTTTATTTTTTAATTTTAATTCCAGTATAGTTAACCTGCAGTGTTATATTAGTTTCAGGTGTACAATGTAGTGATTCAACAATTTTGTGTATTACTCGGTGCTCACGCATTCCCCCCACCCACCTCCTCTCTGGTAACCATCAGTTCTCTATAGTTAAGAGCCTGTTTTGCAATCATCATCATTTACTTTTAAGAAGAAAAACAATTCAGTCATGTTTGCTTCCTGTCTCTTCTGCTACCATACTAATCTGGGCCTTCTCTGATCTGTACTTATTCATTGTTCAGCCTTTTTTGAGTAGAGCTGCTAGGTGAATACTTCCAAAGCAGTGCTTTCATCATATTGTTGCTGGTAAAGAGTAGCCATTGGCTCCCTACTGAGGTTACATGGGAACTAAACTTTGCCTGCTCTTTGAGGTCCCTGAGCCAGCCCCACCCAGGGCTCCATACTTATTTCTCTCCATTTCTAAATTCAAATTCTCTTCTGATCAGTCCTATTTCTTTTAGTCAAGTCATCATCTCCTCATTCATACCTTATGCCTTGATTCTCCACATTCAGTTCCCTTCCCAGTTTAAATTTTAATACTTTCTCAGCATAATTAGAGGCTTTAATAAGTTGAGGTACAGTGGTCTCTTTCACGTATGGTTTCTTAGAAGAATCACTTCTGTGTCATTCATGTGGCCACTTAATGCATGACTCATTTCTGGTTTTTCCTGCATCTGTTACATTCAGGGTCCTGTACTGGCTGCTGCCTTCAGTTATATAACTATTTTATTTAAATGTAGCTTTTCTTCCTACACATCCTGTATGAACTCTTAAAATGTGTAGGGACCGTTTTAGAATCCCTTCACAGGGCTGAATATGAATTTATTTTTAGTATATAAGGGTCTTGAATCTTTTAATCAAAACCTTTGGGGGCCAGATGTATTTGACTTTTTTTTTTTTAAAGATTCTAGAAGGGTTTAAAGCTGCATATACCTTGTTATTTAACTCAGCATTCTGGGATAGCACTCTTTAATGACCTACATTAAAATATTTACTGTTACACATATTCTCCAGTGGGATGTGGGGCAGGATCCTATGCTTAAAGATTGCTTTTTCTGTAGCAAAAAGTGAGTATTCACACTGAAATGTGATAGACTATAAATAGTATCATATCAGTTCAGGTCAGGTGTGATTTTGCTGCCAATTGAGTTACAGTGAAACAGTTTGATTAGAGTTTTGGGTTTCAGAATTGTAATAGATTGAGGAGCTTCACCGATTCTAAGTGTATGGTGTAATTGTAGAGCTGGAAAATTCTGTCTCATGTACGCTGCCTGGGCCAGTCTAGACTTGCCTCCTGTGGCTCTTAGCTGTAGCCTCTTCCTCCCACCCATTTGTTCTCTAACCACTTTGCTCGTGTCACTCCTCTGTCCCCACATTTCTGGTGTTTTACCATTTATTGTCCCCCATGTGCATGTGAGAAGCAGCTATATATGATTGCAGAAGGGATGTGATAGCAATTTATTTAGTGTTGAGCTTGGGAAGCAGTCATTTTTCTTTTTTCTGCACTACCTTCTCTGCAGGGAATACTGTGGGGGAATCAGTGATGTGGCGGGGGCCCCGTGGAGGTGGCATACAGCCATCTGGATGGATGCCTGACGAGGCGTCCAGGTCTTGGCTTGGAAGAAGTTAAGCAATCTTTCCCTGCAGAGAGGTTGCAGACTCATTCAAGGCCTTCTATAATCTGGCTCCAATCTAACTTGTCAGACTAATGAGTCACCATTCCTCAGATTTATATTTTATATTTTTTATTAGATTAAAATGTTTTCTCTGTGTAAACTTGCCTAGTGAGCATCCCATGAATAACATATAAATGCTTTTCTGGCTTCATGCATTTTCCTCAACATTTCACTTAATATGTAACATTTCTTTTATGTTGTGTATTTAATTTTACAATATCCCAGTGGTAGACCTGGTGGTGTTCTGAAACTGGAACTGGATAGCACTTGTCTAGAGGCCCATAGTTTTTGTTTTGTTTTGTGTTTTAAAACAACTACCAAGTTTTCATGTGCTGGTGAAATTGCCAAAGTGAAGCCAACATTAGATATGCCATATTTATGTTGAGACACACGTGGTAAGAACCAGGAATCCTAGAATGTTGGAGTTGGAAGGAACATTGTTAGTATAGTGTTTTATAGATCAGGAAACTCCAATCAGTACAGCTACACAGCTTGATAGTGAGTAGTAGAACCAGAATTCTATTTTTCTTGAAAATTTTCACCCTGTTATTTTCTCTGGTGTTAGAGCTAAAATTCTCATTTGGTTCCCCCCCCCCCCCGCCCCCTGCCGCCTTCTTACAAGTAAATATAATACTCTTTCTGGATTTGGAAAACTTTTGTCTACCTGGTTTCAACCCACAGGAGTGAAAAAAATCATTTTGCTTCTTGGTGCCAACTTGGTAAAACTATTATTTCACAGAATGTGCCTAATTAATCAAATGATTAGAAAATGGACTCTGATTAGAGAATGGATAGCTGCTTTTATGCTCCTTAATTAACTAACAACCAATTTAAATTATGCTTTTGGTGTTTAAGGCTCAGGAAGGCTGTATTCTGTTTCCCTATATGTATCTCTGACTTGAAGAGAAGGTTTGACCACACCATGTAGAACTGACGGTGTTAAGTGCCATACTTTTTCTGTTAAACTCTGCTGTGTATTAAATAGGAGCAATGCCGATTAGAGAAAATGATAAACAAAAAAACAAATGCCAGTTTGAATTTATGAAATTAGAAATTAGGCATCCCGTTGGAGATTGTTAATTATTGGAGGAAAAAACCCCAGGGAATTATGGATCATCATTAGACTCAAAGTTTAATGAGCTTTGGTTCTTTTGTGGTGAATGGAGTGCTTTAAATTTTCATGAAACAGGTTTTGTTCAGGAAAATAGTCACCCAGTGGCATAAGCATTTATAGTTCTCTAAAAATCATGCCTGTCTCTCCTCACTGAGTAAGAGCTGGTTAGGGAATCTTTGTCCCCCACAGGTCTTAAGTGTTCTGCCCATTAGGTTCCACCCATGGCAGAGTGCTAAGCCATGTGCTGTCTCAGTTGTATGTCAGAGTTTCCCATGCTCTTCTGTCATGATACATTTTCGGTTTTGAGTGTGACTCTAATTTAGGTTCTGTGTTCCTTTGTTGTGAATGACCCTGAAAAAATCACTTCGTTACCCTGGGCCTTAGGTATGAAGAGATTGAATTGTGAAAATCTCTTCATTGTCCAAGATAATACAGTTTGAGTACTTTTTAATCGGATATTTTTAACTTAATGTAGCAAGAGGTAACAATACTTTTTTGGTTATAACCAAAAAAGAAAGACAGACAAAAACCAAATTACTTTTAACAACAAAATCATCTCTTTGGCTTGGGTTTCTGGAACTGACAGTTAAGTATTTATGGAGGTTGTGAGGGGTCAGGGAGAATCTAGGGTAGATTTGTTTAGTGCTGCCATTTATTCTCTTTTGTATGCTCTTTAACCTTTTGGGAGAGTATTTCTATGTTTATTTTATAGAAGAAAACTGAATCTCATACTGCCTAGCCCTAGACTGGAAACTGGGGTCTTGAACTGTCCTGAGCTCCTTAGACTATTGTCTATATATAGTTTGGTATGGTATCAGATGGCACAGAACTTGGTATCCAGTGTAACTCTTCCTGTTCTATTCTTTCAGCTTGGATTTACTTTTGGCAACGTGGTTGGAATGTATCTGGCTCAGAACTATGACGTAAGTGACCATATCCATGTCCACCCCGATTCCATGTCACAAATTTGTAGTGATTTGTCTTTGTTAAAGTCAGGTATGCCTTCCAGCATAAATGAAGTCCATAAATCTGAGGAAAATGTCCTGAATTTTGTAGAAAGATTTTCCATTGTTTGAAAAATACACCTCACAGAAGCATCTGTCCTCCATATCACCACAAGAGGGCAAAATCCCATCAATTTAAGATGGTCTTGTGATCCTGACCCATGTTTGTTAGCCCAGAGTAATTAATTACTAAGTTAGAGTCTTCTTACAGTTCTATGGAAAATTATGTGATAAGTGGGAATTTAAAGACTAATTGGTAGTGTACTACCCGCTACGTGGTAGTAATGACTGAGAATTTTAGTGATGGATCTTTATAATGCAGCTTAGTTAAGGAGGTCAGAATTTTGTGAAGTGAGGAGTTATATTAGCCTCATTTTATAGATGGGAAGTTGAAAACCAGGTGACAAAACTGCCCATGAATGGGAATTCTGGAAGGGGTGTTGTAAAGAGAGGGAAAGGAAGGAAGGGGCGGGAAGAGGAAAGGAAGGGAAACATGATACTAACTTTTGATCTGTTTGTGGTGAAGGGTTTAATGTGACAAAAGTAATTCTTTATCAGTCTTCACTTGAGTTATATGGTTTTCTAGGAAGGAGCTTTATTAATTTATATCACCTTTACTGTTTATATGTACAGCTTCTATTTGGCACTGGATTGAGGTGCTAAGTGAGTATATAAAAGGAGAAGTCAGAATCTGGCTTTCAGGGAGGGAGCATACATTACTTTCCAACTTCTGAGATCCTTCTTATGCAGTTAGGAGGCCTGTTTATCAGGTCACTTTCAGAGGAAAATAAAGACTTGTACAACAACCCTTTATTGTTGGAGGAAGAGAAGTAAAAGACTATTGATTACGTTGATGAAAAATTACAATAATCTTTTTTCTCTTTAAAGATACCAAACCTGGCTAAAAAACTAGAAGAAATTAAAAAGGACTTGGATGCCAAGAAGAAACCCCCTAGTTCATGAGGCGGACTCCAGCACTGCCTTCTGGATATACGGATTCTGCTGTTCTTGAGGGCCTCCTTACCATTTGAACCAAAAGCTTTTGTTTTGAATTCCAGCCTCAACAATTTTCCTGTTAGATCCTACGTCGCTTGAGAGCATAGATGGGGCCACAAGTTAAGAACCACCCTTTTCCAACTTCCTCACCTCATCCCTTCCTCCTTCCAGCCACTTGAGACGGCCTAAGACTGGAATTATGGTGCTAGATTAGTAAATGTGACCTTTAATTTGTAGTCTCTCCTTTATTCTTGGAATTTCTACTCTTTTCTAAAGAAAAATTGATGAGTTTTATATAGCCGATCAGACATAAATAATGCTGATTACACGGCTTAGCGATTATAATGGGTGTTTTAAACATTTGGTACTAAATTATGTCGTTTTAAAGTCATTAAAATTAAAGCCCAGAAGCCAGTTACTCCGGAATTATCCACTTATTATATACTGTTGTCAGACAGCTCCATAAGTGCTAATTTAATCAGTAAATCAATTTACTACTCATTAACTGAGAAACTGTATTCTGAGAACCCTGTCAGGAACTAGGGAGTTAGTTTAAAAATGTAAAATAATGGCCCTTATCCTCCGTAGAATTCATAGTCTAGTATGCATGTTTTTCCTTAATCGTGTCTTTGATTTGGCTCTTTTCCCTCAAAAGAATCCTACTTATCTTAGGGCATTATAGGTGCATTTGACGTTACATGATGGATAAATGACAAGTTGTAAAGGAAATTTTATGCCTCTTGACATTAAAAATGTATTTACATTATACCTTTATAGTGATTCTCATGAGAAACTTTGAGGGTTTTTTTTTTTTTTTTTTTCCTGCAATCAGAAATCACCATTGTATGTTGACCTGTAGGTAGGGACATCTCTAAGTTCCTCATTTAGCTGGAAGAAGCTACTGAAGATGAGACCCCCACCCAATTGCCAAAGATTTGTCATTGTTGATCTGTCAGGGCGGAACAGAGAGGCCACTTTTAGGCAACAGGCTTGAGCAGTAAAAACCTGAGCAAGGCAAAAGGGCCCACAGTGACCACCAAGCTGACGCAAACAGGCTCATTAAGCCATAGGCCCTAACCAGCCAATGGGCTACTTAAAACCGGTCACGGTCCCTAAGATTGCCAGAAAGGGAGAATTCTGTAGTCCCTTATTTCTCCCTATAACTGTGTCCCCTCACCACCACCTCTTGGCAGTCTCTCCTTTGCTGTCCTGCCCATTGCCCCCTTGCAGTGTATTCAGTAAACTTCTGTTGCTTTAAGAAAGAAGGAGAGGGTGCCTGGGTGGCTCAGTTGGTTAAGCGACTGCCTTCGGCTCAGGTCATGATCCTGGAGTCCCGGGATCGAGTCCCGCATCGGGTTCCCTGCTCAGCGGGGAGTCTGCTTCTCCCTCTGACCCTCCCCCCTCTCATGTGCTCTCTCTCTCTCACTCTCTCAAATAAATAAATAAAATCTTAAAAGGAGAGAAAGAGAAAGATCACATTGTAATTTGTCAAATATATAATTAGTCCATTTTTAAAAAAAAATTAAATATTTGTATACATCACTTGTACCCTGGGTCAGGATACAAAAGTGATTCAGAACAAAGAGCCTCTCATACTCCTCTTCTTCAGCTCCTAGTTCCTCTTCCTGGAGGCAGGCACTATCAAGTCTCCTGTATACTCTGAGAAGGATTCTGTGCCTAAACAAATACATGTGTGTGTGGGGGGGGGTTTTACACAAATCATAACTGTATTGATTTCACCCCTCGCCCCCCCACCCTTTATTCCCCCTTAATGGAGATCATTCCATATCAGTATGTAAGGAACAAGAAACCTCTTTCCCTTTTTTGTCTACATGAGATTTTATTGAATGGATATACCATAATGCATTTAATCTGTTACTGATGAACGTTAGTTTTCCTGTCTTTTGCTGTTACAGTGATAACTTTGAACCTAAAGTTACTGTACATATCTGTGCAGGGTATAGCTATAAACTAAACCCTAGAAGTGTAATTTGCACTAACTCTAGATAAAGTCCCATTTGATTGTGTGTTTTGTTTTAGGGACTTGTTGGGCAGCTCACTGATAATGCCATTTCTGAAGACATTTTAGCAGAATCCATAAACTGAAAAGAGGAATTTAGAGACACCTTTTTTTCAGATGGTGGTAACATTGGTACTGTGTGATTCTAAAACAAAGGGGTTCTGTTTCTCTTTGGAAACAGGGATCTCTCATTCATGGGTATAGGTTTTATCTCTGGCAGCTTGTCCTGGTGTGTGATACAGATTAACAGCATATTATGCTTTGGCTTCACCCTAGAAGTGAGATCATGGGCAAGGGGCTTATTTTTTGACACTGTTGTATTCTCTAAGATGTGGACGCAATATCTACCTCACACGGCTCACCTGAGAAACAGTTGAGATAATGTATGTGATGTGTTGCACAGTGCTTTGCAAATTGCCCAATAAATAATAGATATTGGTCCAAACATGCTGCTTTTGGTCAGAATACTTTATTTTTCTGCAGTCATTTTTTTGGAACCAGTTTATGAGCCATGCAAAATTTGTCATTCTGTGGTCACTCTCTTGGTTGCTGATGAAAATCTAGAGTATCTACCTTGATCATACCTCCTGGTTCACAAGATTTGATCTTGAATGACTGAATTGTTAGAATGAACCGCAGCCTTGAAGGATAAAGTTTTACCACCTTTGAGGGTATTCAAAATGCTACAGGCTTAGAAAGGGGCTTCCAAAGAGGGATTCCTTGTCACAGTTATGGTAGCATGATTGCTTGTGTGTTGTTTCCAGAGTGGCTTTTTAGGGATAAAGGTAATTTAGGTAGTAGGAGATTAAGTATCTCTCTATTATGTCTAATCTCATTTGGATATAGGGCTTCCTCAGGAATGACTGACTCTTCCCTTTGCTAATAGGCTCAGTTCTACCAGTGGGAACCATCCAGCAACTCCGTTCTTGCATTCACCTTCATGTGAACTGCAACACAGTGAAAAAAGGCTGCCTCAGTGGTCACTCTTCAGGTACCCTCTTGTAGTTTTAGGTTCTTGCAGCAGCGAAACAGGGCTCCGAGTTCTCAGGTGAGATTATCCTCCCTGAGATAGAGGAGCTCAGAACCATCACAGATTTTAGGGTGTGGCTGAAACTTTGTAATGTGGGTAAGGGTTGCAGTGATGTGATTGTGGCACTGAGAGTTGCGTTCCCTGGGGGTTTTGTAGGGACTTTTGCTTCACAAACCATCGGAGGGATGGGAAGAATCACAAGACATGCTCTTCTTCTTTTAAAACTGTTTGAAAACTCCTGTTGATGTGATTTAAGCAAACTTTTGGCCATACCTGATCGTAAAAGGAAGGTTACCAACTGTACAAAATAAGACTTTAGGATTGATGTTGGGAACTTCATAAACACAATGAACTTGAAAAGTTTATCCTTAAACCATCATCCTCCCAAACAAAGGGAGAGAAAAACCCAAACAACTGTATTTAAAATCATCAAAAGGGGCTATATTTTAGGACTTGAAGTTACTAATTGATGCCTTCAGACATTTCTTTTGATTTGGTGTTTTATGCAATTAAGCAGTGACCTCCTGATTTAAAGGAACAATTTCATTTTTTCTAACCCATTTACTCAATTTTCATTTGTAGGACTGCAGAGAAAGTTACACTGTGTGGTTATTAGTTGTCTGTGCATACAGGTTCATAGAGCATATGTACACACGCATAATGTTTTCATTTCCACTACGCAGTTCACTCCCTAGATACTCTGCCGGTGTTTGTTTTTCTGCTGAGGTCTCTTGCCTTTTTAGTACTTCTTCTGGTATTTTCCCGGAAGGAACACCACAGACTGTACTGGAGCAAATAAGGCTCTTCTTAAACTTACCATCTTAGACTCTGCACATAACATTTCCATTCCTTACTCATGAATGAGTTCTTTTTTCCCTAGTGACTGTTAGGGCCTTGTGGAAGGCAACAGGGTGGTGAAGGGAACATATTTTGAGATCTTGCCTGGTCTTAATAGGGGAGTTTGTGACACTTAGATTTTCATGTTTAGTCTATACCTTTTCTAAATCTCCATGCATCATAATTTAGTCAAGTACATTTTTTTTTCAAGGCACTGGGAAATGACAGAACGGTGGGGTTTTATGGAAAGTGAACAGGGTGGGGCATTGCAAAGCTTGAGTCGTGGTCTGCTTGGATCATTGCCCATGTGGCAAGGCCTTCTGAAAGGGGCAGTGTGGTTGCATCATTCCTGCACGTGCAGCTGTACAGCATCGGGACAAGAGTCACCACGTAAATGGCCGGGCAGTCGTGCTTGGAATTTGTTTAGTGAGGGCAGCCACAGGTTGGGTTACCTGTGTACTAGGGTTTTCTCTGGCCTTTGTGTGCCAATGGTTTGAACATTTTGCTATACTGAGAGTTATTCTAATGTTTAGATGTACTTTTTCTTTTCTTCTTTTTTTTAAAGATTTTGAGACAGAGTGTGAGAGAGAGCATGAGGTAAGGGTAGAGGCAGAGGGAGAAGCAGACTCCTTACCGAGCAGGGAGCCCGACGCGGGGCCCGATCCCAGGACCCTGGGGTCATGACCTGAGCTGAAGGCAGACGCTTAACCGACCGAGACACCCAGGTGCCCCCACATGTACTTTTTCAAACATCCCTAAGTGTGAAGCCAACTGCATTATTTGGTATTCAACTGAAGAAACAGATTTATTCTGACATTTCTGAGGGAAAACTAGCTATCTTTTATTTACTAAAAGATGGTTCATGAGTCTTTGCTATGTAAATCCTAATATAAAAGATTGTAACATGTACTTCATGGGTGACTTCAAGGAATGTCAAAGGCAATTAAGCAAGTTTGATATGTAATTGACTTGAAAATAAGGTGCAACTATACTTAATGTCTTCGTTTCTCAGTCATCTGTAAAATGAGCTGGTATAAGATGATCATTACTGCTTTTCATCCATATAGTGTTGTGATATTAGAAGATAAAAATCAAATTAGAACATATGTGCAAGAGACCTAAGACTACTAATACTAAGGCGAGCCCTTACTTACTGTCCACCAGTGGAGTGATTTTAGATGACAAGGCGTTGTTAGTCATCGCTGACATTTCCTGTCACTGGAAGGAGCAGGCTTGGTTAGCCTGCACTCTGGCTTGGGAAGGAAGAGTGCTGCTCTTGGGAAGAGTCGGTGGAGCCGACGGAAATAAATGCTCTTTCTAAACTGAGTGCACCAGCCCCTCGGAGCATCTGGCTGCAGCTGCGGAGGGGAGTTGCACTGCTTTCCCTTTGGGACTGAATGAGGTTCTCAAATGCTGAGCAGTGGCCAGGAATTCTAAGTCCACTTAATTCTAAGTCACCTCTTCTTTCTCTTTTTACTTAGCTATATTCCCAAAATCTTATTATTTGCACCTTTGTCTTAATGTGACTAGAGTCTTGGTGGCTAAGTTCTGTAATGGGTCAGACAGTTGACAATTTGGCAGCTGTGACAATACGAGAACACCCTGACTTTTCTGAACATTTTATAGCAAAATAACTGTCAAGATGCTGACTCGATCAAACCAGCTATAGTGTACATAACACTAGTATTTTATTTGGGCTCAGTAGGTCTTTATTTTTTTATAAGGAGTCATAACATGGCCTAAGCCAGTTGATAGGGCAGAAGCAGTAATATTTGTGGTAAATCTGGTCAGTTGTGCTGTAGTCAGAGCATGCTAGTGTTGGCTGGCACAAAAGAAATTTTAGAACTCACAGATACTTGATAAACTAGGGAGTGACTTTATTGATAAGTTGTGTGGGAAAACTGCC